AATCTCTAGGGTTAGACTGTTCTTGTTCCACTATATCGTGGGATATCGTGTAGTTCTTATTTTTATTTAGTACTGTTCAACTATTGCTTGCCCATTTCCAGTGAGTGAAAGTATCCACTGCCCAACTCAGGGATTGAACTCACAACCACAATGTCACCATATTCACAAATCAATGCTTTAATCCACTAGTGTAGGTTAATAAAAATCCATTGCTATTCATTTCTAAAAAAAAAAAAAATTACCATTATTGATAACAAGTCAATAAAAGTTCAATATTGATAATTGGCTGATAAGAATTTGGTATTAGTTATAGGTTTTCACATATAAGCCATTAATATCCAGCAAAAAGGTTAAGAGTTATCAAGGATAAACTGCTTGGCCATTACTATTGAGTCATGAATTTAATCCTCACTGGGTGCCTCATACAAAATTAAACGTTAAATAACCCAACCACCCGAAGTAAATAAGCACCTCAGCATGTGGCAATGATTATCAAGGATAGTCTTGTTGACCATTACTACCGAGTTTTATCTTCACTAGGTGTCCCAACCAAATATTTGATATTGTAAACACAGCTGATCTTAACCTAAACTAATGACTAAATAAAATCCTACTTGCCCAGTTAGTTCAACAGGAAAATGATGAGACCTAATTGCCAATCTAGTCAGTCAGTTATGTACCATGCATGAGACATGCTTAGACAATCATGTGTCTTTCGATACATAACTGACAAAGCAGATTTTTTCCCGCAGTAAGTTGCCATTTCTTTCTGTGGTAGACCAGTTGCCCTCCAAAGCTATAGAACCCACTCTGTTCTACTATTTACCCGTAACTGAGGGGAGAAGTAAAGGGTTCATACCTTTCCCAATCTCGTAACACACTTAAATTCATGCAGTCGGAGCACCAGGGGCAAAAAAAAAAAGCTCATCAGAACAGTTACCATAAAAATATCTATAGAAAAGACAGAAGGAAGCCATGTCACGTTGGTGTGAAAATGACTAAAGTTGAGATGCCAGGTCAGGATCGTTTACATTACAGACCCTTCTTTAACTTACATATTAATCCCTTGGGAAAGGTATGAATCCACCACTCACCCCACTGGATATAGGTTAGGACTTGTATCAGTGAATTATTTTTATCTCTAAAAGATTCTTACAATCTAGAAATATTTTCTGGCTTTAAATAACCTGGGAAAAGTTGATAAGCCATAAAAAAAACAATCTAGTTGCATCATTCAGGGTCATCAAACTTTTGTTTTACTGCATGTCTATTAAAACTTTCTAACAATTGCTGTCATTTTTATGGCAGGGTTACAATAGTAAATGAATAAAATTTCTGTGATGAAGAGTCCTCATTATTTACACAGGACAATAGCCTAGTTGATTAAAGCATTAATTTGTCAATTTTGTGATATAGTAATTATGAGATCAATCCCTGGGCTGGATATTTCAGACTTAGTCTAAAGAGAAACTGGCTGGGTAATAAGTGAACAGTACTAAATAAGAACAAGATGAGATGACACCCCCCCCTTACTACACATGGTCAGCAGAATGAGAACAAATGAGGCTTCTGTTTTAAATTCGCTGATGATTATTTCAATAAAAAAGCATCTGAAGCTAGAAGGTACAATGACTGAAACATTGTGAGAATAATAACAAAGATGAGGACAATAGTCAGAGTGTAAGATAAATAGTTAACAAGAATAGTTAGGTTGACTATTACTACTAAGTGTTAAATTTGATCCTCACTAGGTTCCCCATACAAATTCAACATTAAATGATCCAACAAGACTGTGTTTGCTAGCCATGACATCATGCTAAGGCACTTGAAGCAATTAAACTACAAACACATTCAGAAAACCATAAAAGCCAGTATTCAGCATGCTGGAGTTTACGTAGACAATTAGGAAATTGATATGTTTTTGACATTAATTAACTCAGCAATGGTTAACATATCATAAAATCATTCAACCTATTTAAATATGTGCCTTGGTATGGGATAATAGTTATCAAGTCTAAACTACTGAGTAGTGAATTTGATCCTCACTGGGTGTCCCATACAAAATTCAAAATTAAATAACCCGACAATGGTTGACATGTCATAAAACAAATCTTCTTCTTTTATGTGCTATATCCTATCATGACATAAGCAATCATGGCTCTCCACAATTTACTTTCCTTTATAGCTCTTAGTAAATTTTGTCTTTTCACTATCTCTTCTAATCCCTATTCTGCCAACCAGCTCACTAAATAGGTTATGCACTGCTTCCTTCTGTCTCTCTTGCCTTAAATATATTCTGTGAGTGTCAAATTTTCTAAGCCCTCTTTCCTCATTATGTCCTCTAGAAATTTCAATTCTCTCTTTCTGATGCAATCTCTTGATAGATCATTTCATAGAATGATTTTTCAGTACACAATAGCAGACTGGGACAGCCTCGGATCTTACATAGCAGCAGCTCCTCTCTCAGCCTTCTTCAAACATTGCCTGGGAAACTGCTGCCCTCATATCAAAATGGATCCTTACTGATATGGAGAATTTTATACCCCAGAAAAAAATACCAGCATAAACCAAACAGCCAACTCTGCTTTACCCCCTGAACGTGTTGCTGTCATAGCTCATCATAACCAATACTACTATATTCATCACAGGAAATGGTGTAGTCGAATACTTGCTGCATTCAGAGAACTGTCTGCAATCATTGAAAGAGAGTTCTAGAAAATGCAAGGTGTAGCTATGATCAAGCAGTCCAGGTCAATGTTGAAAGCAAACAAACTGGATCTCTGGGGTTCTGGAAGATCTTTAACCAAATTATGAATAGAGGTAAAACATCAGTGCCTACTATTATAAATGGCTCTGAGGTCATCTTATTCTCTCAATGTTAGCTGATAAAGGTCATCCTCTTCCTTGACTTCCCCCCATCTCACTGAGCACAATCTCAGTAATATTTTGATTACAACATGGGAAGTTTCAAGATTTATCAAGTCTTGACCCTAAGAAGACCACAGTTCACGCAAAATCCCAGTATTTATTCTTAAGAATATTATCCTAGAGTTATTCCCGATCTTAGCAAAATTATTTAACTGCTGTTTGAAGAAGGAATCATTCCCAAGTCTCTGGAAGGTGTCAAGTATATGCCTGGTTTTCAAGAATGCAGCTAAGTGCTTATCCTCCTCACAAAATAGACACATCAGTATCCTTAGTGTCATTAGCAAACTCTTTGAAGCTATAATCAACAAGAAGATTGTTGATCATCTCAATAGGTGACAAACAGTATGGGTTTCAATCAGCCTGGTCCACTGCTGATATCCTAACTGTGATTATTCACAGAATTAGTGAGGCACTTAACAACAAATACATCTCAAGAATAATTGCATTAGATATTTCAAAGGTGTGGCATAAAGGGTTACTGCACAAGCTCTCTAGGTATGGAATCATTGAAAGAGTCTTCTCAATTATGAAGTCCTTCCTAAAGAGTAGGTCCCTGAAGGTAGTTGTTAATGGCCAGTCCACTAAGGCCCAAGCAATCAATGCAGGCATCCCCCAAGTTTCGCTTTTTGGCCCAACCCTATTCCTATTTTACATAAATGATCTTCCTAAGTTTATAATCTGTTCATTTGTAAATTTCAACAGTATATAGGTGCACCTCCAAAATCTTAAATGACCAGAGCTTGGCAGCTGATCTCTACTCTGACCTTGCTCTAAGAGCTCAGTGGGGAAAAGCTCATTGGTCACAGTCATTACCGCAACCAAACTAGTGACATCCCATCATCGGTGATTGAACCCACAACCTTCACCAATCAGAATGAATAGATGTTCCCTCAGGAGACTCCTTGACTTGAGCATCCAGACCTCAAGAGGAACTCATACATACAATATATTGCTAAAGATGCTGGCAAAATGGTCTGTTCCCTGTACCACTTCAGCAATTACCCAACTCCACATGCTATCCTGTGGCAGACATGATGAGACAGAACCTGGGACGAGCACAACTGGTTGCGACTTGCCTTGTCCCCGCCAAAAAAGAGCCCGTATTTGCTTAGCATGTAAAGCTACTGCAGTTGAAATGAGGGAGAAAAAAGCACTTACCGCTCTGCCGTAATCCGTCCTCGGCCAGATAACGTAAAAGAATGAGGGGCGACTTGCATTGCATTTTTATGCAATAAAGATGCAATGCATTATGGGACATGGACACAATGAATTATGGGATCGCATGAAGACGCAAGGGATTATGGGTATATGGACAAATATAAAAGCAACTAATTTTTCCCAGTGCGGGGGGGGGGGGCTTTAAGTGATGTTCATGGTTGGCAGCTAGAAAAGTCTGTTAGTGCAATTTTGAGACAGAACTCAAGAAGGAACGACTCAAGGTTGGAATACCAGTTGGGAGAGCTTGAATTTACTCACTGGTTGCTGTTTTCTTTTTATTCCCCACATATCCTTTACCTTTACAAGAGCCAGATCAGGCTGAAGATGGAGTACTGTTGTGTCCTTGTGGGTGATGAATTAAGAGGACTCTCAAGATGATGCTTCCTCAGTCACTACAATTTTAACCTGTTCTAATCAAGAGTTAACTGTTATCTTCCATACATTTCTGCATAAGTTTTGCTTTTTACTCTATAACCCTCTATCCAGAATGGCCCCCACATAAAAAAAAAGAAAAAATAAAGCATGTGTGTCTGTTTTGTTTCCATTTTCTCTAAAACTTCCACATTGCTCATATGTTTAGTCCATGGTATTCTCAGCATCCTTTTGTAGAACCACATTTTTGTCACCACATGTCTCTTCTTCATCTATAAGATTGTCCAGTATTCACTGCCATACAGGAAGATCAATATTATATAATTGTACTCTTTTCTTTTGGAAGGCATCTTTCACTATCACAATGCACCTTTGGACTTTAGTGTCACATTTTCTATCACCTATCAAAATTTATTTGAGAAACATATTTGGAGATTTTTTTTTTTTTTTTATTTCTAAGATTTTCTTTGATTTTCTTTCAGCTGGAGTGATGCACATTCCATACAAAAAGAGTCTTGATGGAATTGAGAAACATATTGCAATCAACTTCATGGGACATTTTCTTCTGACAATACTTTTGTTGCCTGTACTCAATGTCTCTGGTACTAACCAATTATTTGCTAGAGTTGTCAATGTCTCATCATCTACCCACCGGGTTGGAAATATTGATCTCACAACATTTACATCAAAGTATGAAGATTTACCATTCTTTTGTTCTTTTCTTCTTCTTTTTTTTTGTATTCCTTTTTATTTTTTATATATATATCATTTTTAGTATTTTTTCTGTCTATATTTCTGAGATAAGGTGTTATGTACACTATTTATATTATTCAAACTATTGTCCTCATTTTTGTTGCTATATTTATCACATTTCAGCCATTGGTTGGAATGTTGAACTGAACCCTTTATTTCACTTGCTGATGTAGACTGTTCTAGTTCCACATGCTATGTCTAATGGATGTCAGTTATCAGTTATCTCCTGTTAATTCCTCTCTCCAAGTTCTCCACTGCCTTAACCAGGTATTGAACTCACACTCTTTCGGTCCTGTCACTGGATCTAACTAATGCCTTTATCCACTGTGCCATGTGTCCTTAGACATGGCACATGGAACTAGAACTGTCTACTTCAGCAAGCGAAATAAAGGGTTCAGTTTGACATTCCAACCACCTGAAGAAGGTTGGAGCATACAACGGCCGAAACATTGTGATAAATATGGCAACAAAGATGAGGACAGTAGTTTGAATAATGTAAATAGAGTATTTTTTTCTTTTTAGTATTTCTTTTTTGTAATTATTTTTGCTTTATTTTATAATTATTTTTTTATTTTGTAATTATATTTTTTTTTGCACTTAGTTTTTTATTTTGCCAATTTCTTGATTCAAGAATAACATACAAAATTATCTTAGAATTGGTAACTTCCACTATCCAAAACTTGAATAAAAAAAAATAGAGGATAGTCTGGCCCTGTGTAATATTGAAATTTGTTCACATCATATTCTAGCCAGTACAGCCAGGCAAAAATGCTATAACAATGTGTACCAGTGAAAGCATTAAGAATAAAAATGAAATTTTATAAATATTTTTATCTTCAGCCATCTTTCAAGCAACTTCATAATTCTATCCTCCCACAACTTTTTATCTATCTGAGCAAAGAAATGCCCAAGGTACGTTTTGTAATCTTTTGACGAAATTGAAATTTTCTCATTAAGACAAAATCTTTAGAGATGAGAATAAATGGTAATCTGAAGGTGTAATCTCTTGTGAATACGGTGGATAAAAGAAAATTCTTCCAGTCAATCTAAGACCATTTTTTCCTGGTTACCAAAGAAATATATGGTCAAGTATCATTCTGATGGATTAGTATGCCGTTTCTCTAAACATGGGGTAATGGTTAACAAGTTTAATCTGGTTGACCAGTGGTGAGTTTTATCCCCAGTAGGTGCCCCATACAAAATCCAACAATGATTGTCATGTCACAAAATTAACCAGCCTTATTAAATAAGCACCTTGGTATGGGGTAATGGTTAACAAGTTTAGTCTGGTTGACCCTTGCTACTGAGTAGTAAGTTTGATCCTCACTAGGTGCCCTATGCAAAATACAAAGGCCTGAAATAATGAATATATAAAATCCTACTTGTCTGCCCCTCATGTCTAAAACATATCAATTTCCTAATTGTCTACGTAAACTCCAGGATGCCAAATACTGGTTTTTATGGTAAGCAGGCCCTTTTCTGAATGTGTTTGTAGTGTATCTGCTTCAAGTGCCTTAGCATGATGTCATGGCTAACAAACTCAGTCTAGTTGATCATTTTTAAGTCCTCACTAGGTACCCTGTACAAAGTTCAACATTAAATAACCGAATAACACTTGTAAAATCAATCAACCAACCAATTTTCATCACCACAAAAAGACTTCAATTAGTTTAGTTTTTTCTTCTGCTTGTGCTGTTAGGCATTGTGGGGAGACTCAGTTGTCTGTCAGTGGCAAGGCAAGTGGCCTGGAGGAGAGATATCTCATGGGCTCTGAGAGTGTCTGCCACTGAGTCACTCCAGTGTCGTCTTGGTCTGGCTCTTGCTCTCCAGCCATAGGAACTGAGGTTGTATGCACATAGGGCTGCTTGGTTGATAGGCATATGAGTTAGGTGTCCAAACCACTTGATCCTCTGTTGTTCAATGTGTTGTATGATTGGTATTGCTCCTACCACATCTCTTATTGCCTCATTCCTGATCTTGTCTTGCCTGCTCTTGTTCACTGCTTTCCTCAGGCATTTCATCTCATAAGTGATCGGTTTCCTCTCAAGGGTTTTTGTTAGGTTGTCTGGCACTGGTATGTCAACATTGGTAGGAAAATGGCATTGATGTGATTTGCCTTGGTGCTCATGGAAAAGATAGGAAGTTTTGGAAGAGGAACAAGTTGGTAACTGACTGCGTTGACTTTCTGACATCTGGTCTTGATTTCTCTGTCTAGTTTGCCATTTTCAGTAAATATGCTGCTCAGATATCTGAATTCACTGGTTTGCTTTAGCTGGGTCCCATTGATGTTAATATTCAGTTTTTCTGGTCTCTCACTGACGGTCATGACCTCGATCTTACTGACACTGATCTTCATGTCTTCAATAAATATGCAAAAGTAGAAAGAGTTGTAAGACCAAGATTTGTCTTCTCACCAGACTTTACAGTGATTCTGAGAGAATTAGAATTCCTGCCAGGATTGCTTACTGGTGACCATAAATCTTAACAACATAAGATATGCACATAACACAGTGTTGATAGGAAGATACAGAAAGGAAATTACAAGAATTTCTACAGAAGATAATAAAGGAAAGTAAGAAGAAAAGACTAAACATTGTAAGAAAACAGAATGTATGGTTGTCAGCAAACAGGAACAACTCAATATGCAAATTACTAATTGGAGATGCCAAATTTAAGCAAGTACAAAAATTTATGGTTGACTGAATGTGTGAGCAATGAGAGTTTTAGAGAAAACGAAAACACAATGGACACTTCACATCAGAAAGAGAAAGATGAAAATTCTAAGTCACATAATGAGGAAAGAGGGCTTTGAAAATTTGACACTCACAGGATATATTTAAGGCAAGAGATAAGAACGCAGCACATAAACTACCTAATGAACTCATGTAAATGTTTGGTAGAGCAAGTTTTAGGAGAGATAGTGAAAAGATAATAGATCTACAAAGCAAAGGAAATTGTGGAGGGCCATGATCGCCAACGTCCTGAAGGGACATGTCACATAGAAAGAGAATGGTTGGTTGTTTGTGTTGAGCAGCATATCAACCCCTATGGGTTATTTAATGCCAAAATTTAAATATTTTGTATTCAATTTTATTTTATTTTTGGAGATAATAATGCTTTAGTGATACAATTCTTACTAATTAACCCATAGTTGGGAAGAAGAGTTGGATTCATAGCTTTGCCAAGGGTATTTGTGCATAATTGTAATATAATGAATGCAACTGGAATTGGAATTTGGGTCTCTGATTAACAATTCTGAAGGTTTATCCATTACATTACCTGCAAATCCAAGCTTACAATACCTGGTATTCCAAAGCAGTCACCCATCTAGGTACTGACCAGACTTGATATTGCTTAACTTCAGTGATTTTACAGGAACCAGTTTTTCAGCGTGATGTGGCCATAAGCCTAGCAATGAGAAGAACCAGAATTTATTTCAAAAACAGAATATTTAATACAAGCCTGGAGGGTGTTTTTTTGCCTCTGGAAGCCATACTTCAAAGCAACTAACATAACCAAATTGAGGTAAATGATTTCCTGTGCTTGATTTAGATCCATGATACATGGGCTTAAAAATATTTTAAATTGTCCTGGAGAAACCAGGAGCAAGTGCAGTCATTAGTCAGGATTTATATTTTCTACTATATTTTTTGAGTAATTTGATTGATTTCCTACATCATATAGCAATAAGTATTCTCATGTAATGTCTAAATTTAAGCTGTTCTCCCTGACTGTGAAGCATCATTCAACAAGAAAAAAAATCTTCAGCATACATTCATAAATTCTACAAATCATTACTTTTTTCACTTTCTTAAAGGAAAATCAAAATATCCTGAAAACACAGCCTATTTTCTCTCCATCTTCTACACCAACTTTGAATACTTAAAAAAAATAGAAAGCTGATATCACAGACAAAATTGAAAGCAAATTTTCTTTTTATATGACAAGTTAAAACTAAATGTGTTTAATAATCTCTAAGGACAAAATGCAAAATCTTTTTAGGCTAGCTTTGTTAAAGAGTTCAACTTATTTTAAATTTAATGTTGTTACATTTTAATGCATGTACCTCCAAGACATAAGAAACCATGGCTTCCCACAGATGCTGAAAAAATGGTCAGCTCATTCTACCACTCCAGAAAGCACCAGACTCCACCTGCTATGATTTATTTTGACAAGGGTCAGATTAGACCAAAATTGGAGAACTGCAACCATATCTGGGCTAGAGCTGCACAATCCTAACTTGCCATCCTTGATAAAGTTCAACATTGTTCCTTCTTCTATGTGCCATATTCTCTCATGGCTCTCCACAATTTCCTCTCCTTTGTAGATCTTAGTAAATTTTGTCTTTTGGCTATCCCTCCTAAACCCTGTTCTGCCAACCATTTATACAAACTCATTCTTCTTCTTCTATGTGCCATGTCCCTTTAGAATTTGTACAATTTGTACGGTTTCCTGTTCTTTGTAGCTCTCAGTAAATTTTATCTTTTTGCTAGCTCTCCTAAACTCTATACTGTCAATCATTTACACAAACCTCTTCTTCTTCTATGTGTAGTGTCTTCTCTCTTCTTGAATCTCATTCATCTTTTGTCCTTTCCTCAATCCTCCCTATACTCAGTTTTTTCTCTTACTTTCACTCCCTGTAACCCTTTGCATACTAGTAGCATTCCCACTCTGCTTGGATTGATTAAAGAAAAAATAAAAAATTTCAAGGCAAAGGTCAATCATTATCTATACTCCTTATCCTCATAAGTTTCACTTCCTACCACCTCCACTTACATTTATACCATACACCTTATTTTGTAACTCACTACTTTGAATGGCTCTCGAGGCTTACATTAAGTGAACCTAATTAAAAAAAATATTTATTTTATTATCTATTGCTCCTTGGGAAAGATAGTGGAGAAGTTTTGTGATGAGGGAGAAAAGTTTTACCTTGAAAAAGAATTTGTGTTCTGTGTGTTATCTGTCAAAAAATGAAAATGAAGATCAGGTCAACTTTAGCAGATCTCGAAATATGACAATTGTTTATACTCTCCTACCAATCTCAACCAATCACAACCTTTCTTACCCCAGTAAAAGAACTCTAATTTGAACAAGAGGCTTACCTGGCTCTTTGTAAGTGAACAAGGTAATTTTGTGTTTCAACTTGTGATGTCAATTTTTGACTCTTTTTGATTTACCCAACCTGATATTTTCTGACTTTGGACTTGCAAGACTGACTTTCGACCCTTGGAATTACAAACTCAGACTTTGGATTTTTTGGATTGTTATTTACCTCGTTTCCCATTACCTTCTCTATAGCTTTAAATTTACAGTTGTTCTTCTCTTAGACTAGCTATCACCCAAAGCTACACAGCCTATTCTACTCTGCTGTTTAACCTATAGCTGGGGGAAAAGGAAAAAGATTCATGCCTTTCCTAAGGGCATTATTGTAAAAGTGAATGTAACTGTCTCGGCCTGAACTTGAATTTGGCTTGTCAATACTGCTTTTTGTACCAATAGCTGTTATACAACCTGTGCATCCTTAATTTCATATAAAACCAATTTGTAAGAAAGATTTGAACTCACTGCATTAATAAACAAGCTGTAAGACTGGCTTGCTAACCATTGTGCAATGGCGGACAAACACATCATGCTGGTAGATATTGTAGCTATGGGTGAATATATTTAACTTTTAATTTTAGGTGCATGATATGGGGGTTAAAATAATGGACCCCTGATACCAATTTTATGATTTATGGGTGAAATTCAAAGCCCATGGATATAATAAATATATATAAACTAATGGACCCAATACCATAAAAAAATGACGGTAATTATTAGAAAGTTTTAGTAGTGAGATGAAATGAACCAAAAGTCTTGAAACAATGTATTGAGATTCAATAAAGTGGAGATACAGAATTCACAACTAAAATAGATGCCAATGAACCATTTAATTAATCTGTTCCCTTTATATTTTTAGACATTTGATGGTATCTATGTTTCATAGATTGTTCCCAGTGTTACATAAATTGCTTTTTATTCAATATCCTTTCATGTTAAAAATTTTGTATGTTTAATATAACAATGAAATGGAAATATCTTTTGGAAGAAAAAGATTAACAAGCGAACAACAAAAATTGAGACAACAAAGCCTATTTCAAAACTAAGTTGAAGCAAGACAATCACTTTAGGCAAAAGTATCTGAGTGCCTCACATGAAAGGCTTGAACAAATAAGACTGCAATCTAAGTAACATAGTCATAAAGGAACTGATTGATTAAACAGTTCATTTTGCTTTGGAATTAATTTTGTCTAAATGCAGATAAATATTTTACTTCTACAGATATTAAAACTACTAAGGGAAGTAATTACTCATAGATTTTCTAACTTAAGTTGATTTACCTCCCTTTCTCACTAGAGATGAGACAGGAAATATACAAATAAATACAGATTGATAATTATTATAAGGTTTGATAATGTGTAATTTAAAAAATTCTTCCAGGGGTGCCAAACCTACTCGATACTCACCCTATGCAGCCTATGCACAGTCGAAGCTGGCTATCATTATGGGTACCTATGAACTGGCCCGGCGACTGAAGGCAGCTAAGTGTTTCCGTGTGACAGTGAACAGCCTCCACCCAGGATTGGTAGACTCCAACTTACATTCCAAGGCAATTTTTCCAGCTCCACTTTTACGAAGGCTTATTGGAAGGTTCTACAAGGTAAGTTTTTTTGTTTGTTTTTTTGTTTTTTTTACTAATGTTCATCCAGTACAAGGCCCAAGAGCCACTCATGGTAGAGGTTTACTGTGTGGAGTTGTATTAGCATAAGAAAGGGCAAGAAGTGAAGTTCTTGGGAGTTATGCAGGAAAGATAACGGCTAACTCTAGACTTGAAGAGGTCAAGATTTAATTGGTGAATAAAATTTCAAAATTCACTTGGAGACATTAGAAGTATAGTATGGAAGTAGACATTTTAGAAGGAACCAGAAACCTGAACCTAAACAGAAAACAAGGGATAAACCTCTAATCCTGTTCAAAAAACAGGGGAGATGTATGAAGTGGATGATAGGCAAACCTATCTACACCTATTGATGGAAGAGAAAAAAAATACTAAATTAGTGGAAAACAATTAAGAGTTCTGTCAGGGACGTCAGAAGTATACAGTTGGAGTAGACTTTAGAAGGATCTGGAAACCCAATCCTAAACAGAGTTTAAAACTTCTACTCCTGTCCAAAAGACTGAGGAAGAGTGTGAACTGGACAATAAGTGAACTTATCTTCTCCTATTGGGAGAAAAGAAAATAAACAATTAGTGAAAAACAATTCAGATTTCAAGCAGGGAAGTTAGAAGTGTAGCATTGAAGTAGACTTTAGAAGGAGCTGGAAACCCAATCCTAAACAGGGAACAAGGAATAAACCTCTACTCCTGTTGAAAAGACTGTGGAGTAGTGTGAACCGAACAATAGGCAAACCTATTTACTTGTACTGGGAGAGGAAAAAAATTATAATTACAAAATAAAATTTCAGAGTTCATGCAGAGAAACCAGGAGTACAGAGCTGAAGTAGACTTTAGAAGGAACCAGAAACCAAACATGAAACAAGTGACAAACCCCACACCCACTCAAAAAAATGGTTAGGAGTATGAACTGAATGATAGGCAAACACATCCACTCCCATTGGGGAAAGGAAAAAAATAACAATTAGTGAATAAGACTTCGGTGTTCAGGCTGAGGTACTAAAAGCACAGAGTTAAAGCAGACCCCAAAAGAAACCAGAAACACAATCCCAAGCTGAAAAAAGTAAATAATTAAATAAAATTACAGAGATTAGCTCTGAATATATATGTTAGGGTAGAGTTAGTTATAGAACTGACAGTATGATATTATCTATTAAGTGTTAACTTAATATAAGTTCAAATATCTTCTGTCAAAATAAAATCCAGCTGGGAATTACTGTATCTTTTCATGTATAAGGCAAGCATTAAATATTAGGAATAAACAAAATAATATAAGAAAACTTCTCTTTCCTCTGCTTCACTGAACTTCATCCATGCAACCTGACCGTCCAAAAGTAATGGCGTGGAGAGGTATGGGCTCATGTCTACTTTCCCAAGACATGCATGAATTAATACTTTTCTGGTTTTTGATCACAGCCAGGCATTTTCCACTCTGGATCTTATATATATATATATATATATACAGCAGACAATGTGCAAGAAATATATACATTCAAATAAGTTCAATTTTTTGTCAGACTGTTTATGTTAGCAAAGATGATTATGTGCCAAAATAGACATTTACCCATTTAAAATTGAATAGACTTAAATAAAATCAAATACAGAATTAACAATATAAGAAAACTTCTCTGTGCCGACTTTCACTTTCATCACTCAACCACTCAGTCAGAAGAGGTAGTAAAAACAACAAAAGAAATAAAAATTTGATGTCATAAATCCTGATATGTTGAACATATTTGCAATCCACGTACATAAAAAAAACAGTGTGTGTCTGTTCTAGATCAAACAGTTTTATGGAAACTGAGAAAGTAGAAAAATATATCAAGAACAATTTAAGGAAAATCTATGATAAAATGAAAATAGTTTTTGTGTGAGACATTTCACATTTCTTCTTTTAGGGCTTCATACAACAAAAGTAAAATGTTTATGTTGATGTGACTAAACATGCACACAACATAAAGAGGGAATGCTGAGAATTTAGAATTTAATTTTTTTTTTTAAATATGTGTTTTGGGTATTTAGTGTAACCAATTTCATCTATTTATGACACAGAAACATGGAGTTACAAAAAAGGCATAACCCTATTGTGTGTGTGAGTATATATATATATATATATATTATAATAAAAAAAAAGAAGAGTAAGATATATAATCAAGTGTTCTTATTGATATTTTTATTTTTACTAAACAGTGCTCAATGTAAATTTACAGACCATAAATATTATAAATTAACTAATTTAAAAATATGGTTTCATCACTACACAGGAATCACCATGTTTCCAAAACAGAAACTAAAAATTTCAAATTCAATTATATAATTAAATTAAAAGCATTAGTTCTGTTTCATCTTCAAGCGAATTTTGGAATAACTTCTTTTGAAATTTACTGAGTTTTAAAAGCACATACATTCATAATTTTTGTTTCCAAGGATACAGAGAAATGCAATCATTTAGACAGGGGCGGTAGCGTGTTCATTTTTATTAACTATTCTTGTATCAATTATGATTTACGTTCGAAAAAGAGGTTAAGTCTAGGTAGGGTAGGGGTGCCTTTTTTCAACGAATTTTGACATTCGTTCAACACGTGTTGTCTGGTTTTTTATAAATGACAAGTTTTTTGGCATTTTTTTCTGTTAAATTCATACATAAAGATTTGGCTCTTGTTTTTGAAACATGAGAACTCTTATATAGCGAAGGAATCATATTTTTTTTTTAAATAATTATATATATATATATATATATATATATATATATATATATATAAAATCTGTGTGGCCTTATGAAGGATCATCATCTTGTTTAGGATTTGTAGGATTCACTCACTTGAAACCATTGATCTAAGAATATTGGTAAATTACATTTCATCAGCATTATCAGCCAAAAGTTTCAAGCCACACTCTGGAATTAAGAATTACCAAATTCCATACCATCTTTGGTTAAATTAACTGTTACTAAGCTAGGATACTGAAACTATTTCACTCATTAGTGCATGGTACCAGATTTTTTTTTTAAATTTTAAATCCACGAGCTTTAAGATTATCATTAGCCAAATAAATAAGGCAAAATCAGTTAATATATGATAGTAATTTCATTATTATTAATGAATATAATAAAATTTCATTATTATTATTGAATATGTGATAATTTCATTATTATTATCATTGAATATATAATAATGATTTCCTTCTTATTATTAAACATGTGATAATAATTTCCTTATTATTATTTTTTAACATATGGTAATTTCCTTATTATTATTGAATATATGATAAAACCTTTCAGGAAGAGAAAGTCCCTCTTGAATTGAGCTAATAAAAAATTAGTTTTGAAAAAGACATTCAAAATTCAGATAGTTTCCCAAAACCTTTGGCCTATAGTGTACCCAAGCAAATATACGTATGAGGTCCCACATTTGAAAAAGCCTTTGTAGCAAATGTTTTTGGTCTCTGTGAGAGGATTAATAAAAAGAAACTCCAAGTTTAGCCAATAGACATGATGAGACCATGCCAGACATATTTTTTTCTCTTTTGTGTTCACGCTTTTTCTCACCTCTTCTTTTTACAGAGCCCTTCTCAAGGGGCCGACACTGTGCTGTATGTGGCTCTCTCCCCAGACTTAGAGAAACAAAGTGGTGGTTATTATGAAAATTGTCAGAAGGCAACTTCTAGCAAGAAATCACAATCATTCCAGTTGCAACAAGCCATTTGGCACACCACCTGTTCTGTACTTAGCATCGATCCACAGTAAGTACATTTCTTTCTTTTATGTCTTTTCTGCTATGTCAGCCTGTGTTCGAACTTTAAACTCTGATTAAAATGGTCCATAGAAGTAGCACTGCAATATCACCTTCTTCAAGATGTAGGCAATCATGGCTCTCCCCAGCTTCCTTTTCTTTATCATATGTAAACTGCCATGACTTCTTTGTGAAAAATAGTGAAATAATTTCTAGTTGCTTTCCCCATTGTTTTAAATTAAATTTTCTTTCTCTTACACTGCTTGCCAACTAAGGCTAAAGAGCCTGGTCTACCCTGCTATTTGACCAAGAGCTGGAAGAGAAGAGATAGATTCTTGCCTTTCCCAAGGATATTAGTGTGAAAATGAATGCAACTGACTAAACAGGAATTTGAACTCAGCCTGTTAATTACACATCAATAACTGTTAGGCTAACCCCAAATCCCCACCCCTCAAAGCACTTATTTTGAATTACTGTCTTCGAAGTATATAAGATCTACACTACTATTTGCATTTAATGTTAGAATATAATGGCATTAGGGTTTACTGGTAGAGAGACTAGGTAAATCATAGACCATAAAACACCTCAATTTTACATACAAACCTCTATATTTAATATTAGAGTATTAGTGTTAGACAGAATACAGGTACTGGTAATCAATAACATCTAGGTAAACATTAGCCTCTCAAGATATAGATGTTATATAAATATACCAATATTATTTATCAATTTACAATCCCCTACTAAGAGACTGCATTCCCAATCAAAACAAATTCAATAGTAATTATATTGAACATACTACTAAATGCTTATCAAGAAGACATTACATCTCTTAGACCATAGTCCAATTAGAAACCATTTAAACACAGATGGAAACCTATCAATCTCTACCATAACATACTTGTGGAAAATAGCCTCTTCCACATGTAAAAAACAGTTAAAAATAATGGAGCATTAATGATAAAAAAGGGAAAAGCCAACACTCAGTAATATCAACTATGAACACTGCCATAACATGTTGACCATGTTTGGGAAATGAAAACATTTCCATCATTATAGATGCACATATATAAAAATCTACATCTTCAGTTAAAAACCATTTGATAATGGCTAACAGAATAGCTGAAAGCACTTGGATATACAGAACAGTTGAACAGTTTTTACACTGTTTAAAAAGGTAAAATACTGATACACACAAGAAAAATTGAATAAAAAGCTTAATCATGGTACCTTGTTATTAGTCTTTAATGAAATTTGTAAAAAAAAGATTTGCTGCCCAAATACACAATTATAAATAATTTAAACACACCCTGAAACCTACCAAACTCCATCTGCAACATTCTTGTAGCAAATACAAGTATAACAGCCTCATCAACATGTAAAAAAAGATTAAAGAATAATGGAAGCATTTATAATAGAAAAAGAAAAAACCAACATTCAATAATATCAATTATGAACACAGCCACAATGTGCTTACCATATTTGGAAAATAAAAACCTTTCCATCACTATAGATACACATATATAAAAATCTACGTATTCAGTTAAAAATACATACTTCATAATGACTAATAGAAAAGCTGAACTTATATATATATATATATATATATATATATATATATATATATATATATAAAAATAAAACATTTGGACAGTTTTTACACAATTGATTACTGCAGCATAAATTTTTGGCATTCATTGCAAAGTTTTCTCAAAGTATAAGGTTGATAATTTATTCCATTCTTTTTTCAATGATTCTAAGAGCTCTTTTTTTTTTTTTTTTTTTTTTTCACTCTTTTGGCAAGGTCATCCCATGCTAATTCTGGGGGTGGCTGCAAACTTTTGAACTGTAGCGTATATATGCAAAGCCAACTCTAAACAATAATTTTCCCCACACCCACTTTTGCAGTGTCACAACATTCCAATTATGACATATTCTTATTTCTAATATTATGCCTAAAAACTAAAAATTTTTTCTTTTTTTTCTTTTTGTTTACAATTCTACTTTAATATATATATATATATATATATATATATATATATATATTAATGTAACATTGATTAAACAAGAAATGTTTTATTTTTTACTTGTTATAATATTCAAAAATTAATTATATATACACACATACCAACACATATATATTTACTTGTTATGGTATTCAAAAATTGAATATTCTTTGCAGAAATATGCAAAGCAAATCTCTAAACAATTTACTCCACCCCCTGCAGTATTACAACATTGACACATAAACTGGTATTAACATACGAGTTGACATTCCTGAAAATTTAAAAACATTTTTGTTTTTTCTTTACAATTCTCCAATTTTGTAAATATTATTCTTAGTTACAATGTTTATAAAAATTAATCTTAGAAAAAGTGACGTGTTCCGTTTTTACTGTTCGATGGCACATTGAATCCTTTCACCTCCAAACAAGCCAATAAAAGGCACAAGGATGCAAGGTGTTACTGAGAGTGAAAGAAACAAAGAGAATAATAAAAGAATAGGATATAATCAGATAGAAGATGACAATTGACATTGCATTTAAATTTTGGAAGGTTGTATTTGACAGGAAAGGATGAAGCCGGAAGAGAGTTCCACAAGCAAGAAGAAATTATCAACATAGAGCTTATGGTTACATTTAGCAATTTAAACAGTGAAATTATGAGGCATAGCTGCCAAAGAAAAGAGTACTGAACTGCTACGTAATATCATGCCTCCTGTATGGCAGTGAATGATGGACAATCTCCTCAAAGATAAAGAAGAGACTTGAAGCAAGAGAAACAAAGAAAAGAGCACTGAACTGTTACGTGATATCAGTCCTCCTATATGCCAGTGAATGCTGGACAATCTCCTCAAAGATAATGTGGTGAACAGCCCCATAGAAGCAAGCGAGCCAGAGTGGCTTGCATCTGATGTATAGGAAAATAAGGGTTTTACTTTAACATGTGGCACATGACATCAGCAAGTTTGCTCCATGAAAATGGTATTACTCTCCCATCCAGCCATTTTAGCAGTATGTGCAGTGATGAAGGTTTTTTGTACAGTTTGGCATGCTTCCACCAATAGCAAGTCTTGTGCTGATTGGTCGAACTGGAGGAGGCAATTTGCCTGTGTAACTGAGAATAAAAGCGAAGAATGCTGATTGGTTAGGGAACCGTGGTGTTGGCCTGATAAAAGAGGGCTGGAGCAGTGAAAAGGGAAAGAACCATCGGCGATACGTAGTGACGTGTTCAGAAAGCAAGTATGGTGAATTGAACCAGCAATATTTTGATTTGTACAATTGACGTTGCAGCAATACAGACTTATTTAAACCACAAGCTATTTTGGCATTTTCTCTAATCATGGCGGACAGAAGTTTCAATATTAGGCTGATACCTGAATTCAGTGGAGCTGCTACCGATCTACCAATTGTAGAATGGATTGAAAATGTGGAGTTTGTGAACTTTGCGAGATGAAGAAAATCGAGCAGGTATTGCCACTGCGCTTGCGAGCCGGGGATCTCTCTGTATATCGGCAACTGACAAAGGAGCAGAGGTCAGATCCAGAGCAGTTAAGCAGGCCCTTATAACTGCATATGCGGTGGATTAATTCACTGCGTATGATCAGTTTGTGTCACGACAATTTCGGCCAGGGGAAACGGTAGACAAATTTTTAGCAGAGTTGAAACAGCTTATGTTGGTGGTTGGCAGCCAACTGCCTGAATAATGGATGACATGCGTCTTTGTTTCTGGACTGCCACACCAAGTCAAGCAAATTCTCCACGCATCATCCAGAATGGACACTATGATGTTGGACCAAATCCTAACTCACTCTTGGGCCATTATGACCGATAGCAAAGAGCCAGTGTAGTCAGTATGCACCACTAAAAAGAACAAAGTGGACGCACACCAAGTGGCCAATGTCCACCAGAAAACCGGACACCCAGGCATGAAAAGGACCCTGTACTTTGTTAGGTTGATAGACCCTTCAGTATCGTCAGAAATTGTAAAAGCAGTTGTCAAGGAATGTGAGGCATGCCAAACCATTGACCCAGCTCCAGTGCATTGGTGAAAAGGAAAGCTGAACGTGAGGGACAACTGGAATAGGTTAGCAATGGTCATCACTTACCATGTTAGTAAGCAATTTCTGACAATTATTGATTGTGGGCCTTCTCAGTTCGCGATATGGCGCCCACTACATCAACAAGATTCTACTAGCGTAGTTCAGCAGTTAGAGGCAGTTTTTTACGAACAGGGTCTGCCAGTCGAGATATTGACCAACAATGACACAGCATTAACGTGCAAACATTTCAAAAATTTTTTGAGTAATTGGGGTGTACGTTTGTGGTTTCGGTGTGCCTATGCACCTGCCGGGAATGGTATAATAGAAAGAGATGCACGATTAAATTTAGAATGCAAAAGAACGTTGATTGGTTGGGGAACCACACTGTTGGCCTGATAAAAGAGGGCTGGAGCAGTGTAAAGGGAAAGAAACATTGGCGATACATAGTGACGTGTTCAGAAAGCAAAGACGGTGAATTGAACCAGCGATATTTTGATTTGTACAAGTGACGTTGCAGAAATACAGACTTATTTAAACCACAGATAAAGAAGAGACTTGAAGCAATAGAAACAAAGAAAAGAGTACTGAACTGTTACGTGATATCGGTCCTCCTATATGCCAGTGAATGCTGGACAATCTCCTCAAAGATAAAGAAGAGACTTAAAGCAACAGAAATGTGCTTCTACAGAAAGATGCTTAGGATACCATGGACCGAACAATGACAAAATTTTAGAGAAAATGGAAACAAGAAGAAAATTTATATTGAACATCAGGAAGAGGCAGTTGAAGTTTATAGGGCACATAATGAGGAAAGAGGGCTCTGAAAATATAATATTCACAGGATAGATTGCAGCCAAGTGGAGCGGAGGAAAAA